AGCTGTCCGGAGTGACAAGGTCTCATTAGTCTGCCATAGCCTAGACCTGTGAAGGAGGAAGAGGAAGGTGGCCATGGCTATGGTGGACCTCATATGGAAGCCTGAAGTAGAAGAGGGATTCGGACATTGATTCTGGTTCTGCTGTTCAATTTATTGTTGTTCTTTCATGAGTTGAATAAGAGAGGAAGAGATAAAGAGGAGGAGGTTGTTGAGCGAAGAAGAAGAGCTTTGTTTTGGTCTATGCCGAAGTACATCTTCTTCTTCTTCTCTAATTCTTCTTCTTCTTCTTTCCCTCTCTCTCCTTTCAAGTTCTTTCATTTCATTTTGCARTTGGATGGAGTTGAGCTCAAGTTCAATTATTTCTTTTGCATTTGGGCAGCATTGTACTTTCTGATGGTTGTGGACTTCAAAATTGGCCAGGATCGTAACACATGGCAGATTAAGGCCACGACGGCATATTGGGCAGGCGATTAGGGGGTGGGGGGGATGAACACAAGACAAAGAGTCGCAGTTTTTGTGACAGAGGCTGGCAGTGACCATCCCTTCATAGTGTTCGGAGCAGAGACTATGCATTGTGCATGCTAACCGAACTGTGGCTGTGGAAGGTCACAGCCAACATCTTCTAAGGAGGTTCTTTCATCGTGTGGAGCAGAATTTGTGCGATCTAGACAGGGAGGGGACACTGCTTGGTCATGTGCAGGGGAAGGAGGTAATTGCGTATCCGAATGGCTCTCCAGAGACTGAAGCGCTTGTGGGTGCGACGTAACATATTGTTCCTGAAGGACAATCCAAATTGAGTGAGTACTTGCTACTTAGTTATAGGAGTTAATGCTACTTACCGTGTGCACCCTACCGCCATTATCCCATAAGGCCCATGAATTGTCCGCATAGGTCACAGCGCTGAAATGTCCTGGCCAATACAGGATGTACGCACAAATATTTGAGTTCATGCCTGGCATGTGGTTCTGGGAAGCAGGGTGTAGTTGTAGTCTTCTACTCATAAATGCCATAGACAAGACTTCTATGTTCACTCCAGGACCAGTACTGTCATCCTCTGGACAGACAGCACAGTGCTCTTCTTCTATCCAGCGGACAATATCAGCAAAATCAGAAATTGTGCAAGGGTTACAGTTGTAAGTGAGGAGACTTACATTGACAGCATAGTACCCACAATAGCCTCGCTTCAGCACCATGAGATCATATGATTCTGGTGGTTGTGCGGTAGGGGGCAGTTCATTCAGTGCTGTGGATTGCAAGGCACGCGGAGATTCAATGTGGTGTTGATTGTTTCTATCAGGTTCCTCCATTTGTGGAAACTGCACTTGCTCTAAGTACACGCTCCGGAGAGAGATCATCTCCAGTTAGGGGCTCCATCAAATAATCAGAAGGCAGGTCATTGACCATTGGGGCTGGGGAACACGAGGGGTCAGGCGGGCGAGAAATAGGTGGGTAGGATATGAGTGGTTCAGATGCAGGTAATGGAGGCTGGTCAGCCGCACTTGTATTTAAGGTGGCTGCCAGTCGTGCAAAGGCTGCACAGACGGCCGCACCCCGTGTCTGATGCACACGCAGGCCCGTACTGCTGAAGAAATTGTCGCCACATTGTTGGCATTGAGCTCGACATGCACTATTCCGGGCTAGTGTGTATTGAGCACGACGTCGTCGCTCTGTACGGTTGCGGGCATGACCATTCCTGCAGACCAGAGAACACCAATTCGGTGCTGACTGTGGAAGCATCGCATCCAATTCTCGCAGTTGCAGTTACTGCACCGAATGGCACGACGTAGATAGATATTGCAGGCAACACGGCTCCCACAGGCAAGGAACACAGGGGCACGCCAGCTGCGATTGTAGAGGCATTGCTGTTCGAGCCCCTGTCTACAAATTGGACATGACATGTCAGGGTGCCGGACGTGAGTCTGTGTGTGTGTGTGTGTGTTACAAATTATCACCACAACTTCCTCTATTCCGCCCAGATGAGTAGATCCAAAGTYACAGCAACTTTACCTATATTGCAGACAATGAAGCATGCTCGAGATGAGCCAATCCACCAATGAGACAGTTTTGCTTGTGAAGTCAATATCTATTCAGAACCTTACCTTTAAACAGGCAATGCAGCACGCTCGAGATGGGCCATCTGAACGGCAAAAAGAATACGAGACGCAGTACATTTGTTAGTATGCTACATCGTTTTCTTGATTATTTTTTCATCAGCCAGCATTGGGAGGCCTCCCATGTTCTTTGTTTTTTCAGTTTCCCTCTTACTGTGCCTATCACGTACAAGGCTGGCCACGTTGATGATGGTTGAGCGCCAGCTGCCCATATCCCCGTGTGCCTTTACGGCCCACTTGCACGTTATAAAAGGAGGCAGAGTAAAGGGGTAATTATATTTTGTCTGTTCTCTC